GACTCTGATGTCAGAGCTGAAGAAGGAAGACTTCACTCTGCCAAGGCACAGGACATGTGCATTATCTGGGCTGTGGGGTGAGTCATTCTCCCCAGGCTGTTTTTACTATTAGGATTGAGTTGAGATTGCCAGGAAAATCTGTCAGGAAAAGGAAAACCTCACTTCAAGTTCCCATGGCCATTCCCTTAGGATTCTGAACAGGAAGAACTCAGCTCCAGAAGGTGTATTGAGAGAGGAGAGAGAAGAGAAGGGAGAAAGGGAGACAGCAACAGTGAGAGACAGAGACAGACAGACAGACACGCACACACACGAGGGGGAAGGGGTGTGTGAGGAACACAGGCATGAACCTCCTGAGCGAGACACTGACCTCATTTGGAAAGCTGCAGTGAGCCTCTGAATGTGTGCCACTGGGAGCAGGGTCTGACCCGGGAAACAGTCCAGACGGCCAAGGACAACTGGGACGTGCCCGGCTGGGAGGGGCTTCTCCAAGTGGTGGAGTTTGGTCCCTCAGAGATTTTTAAATGCATCCAAATAGCATTAACCAAGCACGGCATTTGGAGGTTTGATCTGAGGTGTGGAATTAACAGCAGCAGACAGTGGATTGGGCTTGGGCCCTTGTATAGGCTAGGAAGGAGGGTGACCCCTGCCTAGTTTTCCATGCTTAGGCCCAACCTGGCTGCCTGTGACTGGTGCTCATCACTCCTCCTCCACACCCCAGCCAGGGGCACAGGACTGGCCATCAGCTGGGTCCCTGATTCTTGAGCCTCGCATGCATCCTATGGGATGAGATGAGGAAGGAGGTGCGGGCCAGGTGGGGCCTCCTGTTCCTTTTGGGCAGAAGGGCCTGCGAGCTCATTGGCACTCCAGAGCTTGCTCCTCCCCTGTCCAGTCTGGTTAACTGTCAGGTGCACAGGCCCTTTGTGTGACCTTTGTTCTCCTCTCCAGGCAGCCTGTCCTTCCTGGTCACACTGCAGTTCGAAAATTGGTGCTCACTGGTCTCACCACTGATTTTCTTCCTCATGAAGTGCCTCTTGGTCCTGTCTTTACTCAGCTGCCAGCAGGCTGGGGGATGGTGATGGCAGAGAGGGCCAGGGCTGAGGATGGTGAGAAGTGGAGAAGCTTAGGTCTCTGGGTCAGTTAGGAATCCCTGGGGATCTACTCGGGGGGGCTGCCCAGGGGAAATACAAAAGCCAAAGCCTCAGAGAGAGATGTGCACATGTTTTGGGATCCTCTTGTAGGATTTCAGAGCATCATGGATCTCTGCTGAAAACCCCCACCAACTTCCTGAATGCTAAGTAGCTGGCAAGGGGTCTGGAGCCTGGCTCTAGCTCTTGTCCAAGGGCCCCTGCTATAGGACTTTTTAATCAGAGGTCCTAAACTGGAGGCTCTAGGAATGAATCTGGTCCACAGGTGTGTCTTATTTGATCTGCTTAGTACTTATAAATTTCAAAATTTTATTGGAAGCATTTAAATTCAGGATATTAGATGTTAAGAAAATCTGGGTTTGTGATTTCTCTTGAAAAATCCGAAGTGCTGGCAACCTGGGATTCAGGATATTAGATGTTAAGAAAATCTGGGTTTGTGATTTCTCTTGAAAAATCCGAAGTGAAGTGCTGGCAACCTGGATGCACATTCTCACATGGCAGTGGGCAGCTGCCTCGAGACAGGGCACGAGTTCCTAATTAGCCCTGCCTGACCCACTTACTGCTTAGCTCCTGTAAACATCTGTGTTCATAATCTCTGATAAGGCCTCCAGAATGTCAGAACTGGAAGGGCGTGTTAATGATTATGCAGTTTCTTTTTCTTTTTCTAAAAAGATGACCGGTAAGGGTATCTTAACCCTTGACTTGGTGTTGTCAGCACCACGCTTATCCAGTGAGCAAACCAGCCATCCCTATATGGGATCCGAACCCATGGCCTTGGTGTTATCAGCACCACACTCTCCCAATGGAGCCACGGGCTAGCCCCGAATATGCAGTTTCAACTTCTCAGTTTCCAGCTGGAAAAAAGGAGGCCCAGAGAAGGGAAGACTTTCCCAGGGTCATGTGGCCCAGGTCAGGTCTCCTCTTTCCAGGTCGGTGAGCCATCTTTCCACCAGGGCTTCTTGGTACTTCACAACTGAGCCACCATAGATGGAGAGAGCCAGGAGACCCTGCCTTGCCTTAAGTCCTGCTTGTCACCAACTACAGATGAGTCTGTGATGTGTGTGCTCTCGGTAGGTCTGGGAGACTAAGGCTCTGTCATATATGATGTGTCTGATACCATCCTCTAGCAATTCCTCAAGACCCCACAAACACTCTCCAGGGAGAGAAGCAGATCTCTAGTCACCCAGAGCCAGGATAGTATTCTAAGGCTCAGAATACTGTTTGGGTTGGAAAGGGAGTTGACCCCTCACTTTCTGACTACTAGAGAACCCAGACATCAAAACCGAGAGGAAATGAAACTGTATGATGTAAGGTACCACCCCAAAATCATAATGGTTTAATGCAATAGAAGTTTATTTCCTGCTCAGTAAAGTCCTAGGCAGGTGTTCCTGATCGGCAGGTAGATCTCCTTCAGGCAGTGATTCAGGGACTCAGGTGCTTTTTTGTGGTTCCATCATCTTCAGTCCATGGCTCCGTTGGTTTCTGTGGAAGGAGAAAGAGCATGAAGGAGTCGCAGGTCTTTATGAATCAGGCCTGTATATGATGGTCATCACTTCACTCAGTCATATGCCACACCGAACTGCAAGGGAGGCTGGAAATTAATCTAACTGTGTGTGTGCTTAGGAGGAAGGAGAAATGGCTCAGGTTAACAGCCAGCCAGCCACTAGAGACACACTTGTATTGTGCATGCATGTATGTGCATACACATGTGTGCATTCAGGCACAGAAAGGGAGGACGTTGGAGGGGAGGAAGCTGGGTCTGTGTCAGGATGGCTGAAACACTGTTCCTTCCCTTTCTTTCCATTCTCGCTGCCACTTTTCTTGGTTTATCCAGTTTACCTTCCCCCTGAACTACTATAAAGAGAATCATCCCTCCAACTGGCGCCTCACCCTGATCTTGCCTGCTTCCCACAAAACTGCCCCAAATCCTTCTAAGGATAGGGGAGTCTATCCTCAAGATCAACTGGCTCTTGTAAGTGGGTTTTGGAAGGTCAGAGGAAGGCCACAGCCTTTCCTCTACTTTTGAAAATACATTATGAAACCTTAACTAGACAGAGCAGAAACATTAATGATTGACATATAAGGACTCTTTATTTTTTGAAGTCATCATGGGATCCTAGCAGATGTCAAAATGACTTCCTCAGTGAAAACCTTGATGAGAGGAATCAAAGAATATTTACAGGAGCCTTTATACATTATTTAATCCAATCACAATACTTTGGGATCACATTCCTTACACAGAGTAAGATTCATCTGGACTTAGGACAGCCACATAGGAGGGTACTTTGAAAAGTTCATGGAAAGATTCATATTATCTTTTAATTCTATTTTTCCATGAACTTTTTGAAGTAACCTGTTCTCTGATTCCCACCTTTTCAGGACTTCGATCCACCAATTATCTCCTCTTTCTACCCTATTGACAACTTTTCTTTCCTTATTCTTTCCCCCAGCTTTTCAGCAAGTTTGAGTCTTCCACCCTAAATCCTGCCCTTCGGCAGAAACGGCTCCAGCTCTTTGTGAGCTAACCCTGACCTCCTCTTTGCTGTCATCTCCCGCTGCTCTTATCGAATCTGCAAACCAGCTGCGGTCCTGCTGAAGTCTGCCTCTAGCCACTGCAGGAGCTTTCTACTATCTTTCTTACCATGCACAAGCTTTCCCTTTTGTCTGGGGTCCCCTTGCCTCCCTCTCTCCCCTCCGTCCCTCTCACCTACCTGGTGACTTCTGGCCTTCCTTTATGACTCAGCCTGGGCTACAGGAAGCCTTTTCTGAGTAAGCATTTCTGGGTAAAATGTTACTTCTTTGGAGCATTCATCACAGTCTAATTCATTATATATTTACTTGTCTTCCTCCCTGGAGCTCAGAGACCATCTTTTGCTCAGTATCCCCAGAGCCTGGCACTAGTGGGGACTCAATAAATGAGAGCCGAGTGACTGAACAGATTCAGCTTAATTGCACAGGGGGGACTGGCTGCTTGTTCACTCTGCCTTTGGGGCTTGGTCTCCACGTGGCTCCAGTGATGGGCATGTTTCAACCCATGGCCTGCTCGTCTCGAATGTGGGTGACTGAGGCTGCAGAGGTGGAAGAAAGAGGCCTTGTTCTTCTGTGGAACTGTGCCCACTCCCCTCGGATGCTACAACTGTGTTAATGTCAATTGTGCAGGTGTGGACAAGGGACAGAGATCACCCACCCCTTCCTACCAGGAAAGACAATTTCTTCCATTTCTGGCCTCGGTCTACTTTATCCACAGTTGTCCCTGGGGAAGTTTGGACATTCATGGGTCCCTTCTTTTCTGTGGTGAGAAGTGCTGGTCATGACAACCATTCATGGTGTCCTACGGCTGGGGCTGTAAACGTGGCTCGAACCCCAGTCTCCCTGTCCTGTGAGTTCAGGGGCACATTGGGACTCCTCTGTCCCATGTGCTCCCTCCCCCAACCTGGATGAAGTTCCAGTCAGTGGGGTGTGAAGCTTCAGTCTTTTCCAGAGTTGGGTTCCCTAAGCCCAGGGCTTGACAATCTGTGAACACTTGATACTTGGTGAAGGAAAACATGAAAGGTCCTGCTGTGTGTGTATGTGCCTGTGTGTGCGCGTGTGTGTGAGGGGGCGGGGAATGAGGGGCAGATTGGGAGAAAGGTCTGCGTTGGCCACTAGGTGGTCTTGTTCCTCTTGTTAAAATTTGTTTCTGGCTCTGTCAATGGTTCCATTTTGGCTTAGCTTTGGCTCTATGTTAGGCTTCTTAAAGATCTTTCTGGGACAGCTCAAGGTAGCTTCTCAGGTGACCTCCACTGTCCTGCTTCTCCATGGCCCCCCTGGAGCACTAGAAGTCTGGCCAACTCATCCCTGTTTTAGCCTGGAAAGACCTGCACTCCAGGAAACCCCTTGGTTTCAAATAAACTGAGATGGATGCCACCCTCACCATGTGCCTCCTGTATGTCTCCTCAGGTCCACAATCTGCAGGAGCTCCGGCGAAGTGCCTCGCTGGCCACCAAGGTCTTTATCCAGAGAGACTACAGCGATGGGACTATCTGTCAGTTCCAGACCAAATTCCCCCCAGAGCTGGACAGCCGGGTAAGGAAGCTTTTTTCTAAACTTGAAACCCAGGTCATGATAGAACTGAGGGTCTTATTGGAATGTTATTTTTTTTTCCAGGACCATATGACACATGATATCACAGTACACAGTATAACTTGCTCAGCCACTGCAAATGGAAGAACAGAAAAAGTCCTAACACTATCTTGAGGTCGTCTCATAGAAAGCTAGAGCTGAAGAAATCGCCAAGATTTTCTAGTCCAGCAGCTCTCAAATTTCAGTTGCATGAGAGTCATCTAGAGAGCTTGTCAAACAAATGGAAATTCCTGAGTCCTGTTGGGTATTATGTGTCACCCAGAGATGCTGACTGAGTTGTTGGACTGTGGTTCAGGAATCTCCATTGACTAGCAGCCTTTCTCAACCTTGGCTGCACATTACAATTTCCTGGGGAGCTTAAAAAAATCCTGATGCTCAGACTGTGCCCCAAACCAATTAAATCAGAATCTCTGGGAGTGGGACCCAGGCATCAGCATTATTTTAAATCTTAATTTAAAAAATTAATTTTAATAATAATTGTTTAAACCTTAATTTTTAATGAGGAATCCCCAGGTGAAGGGGAATTGAGAGGCTCATAGATCACACTTGGAGAACTGCTGGTCTTCTAGTACAGCGCTTCTTCCTACTCCTGGCTGCACATCAGAGTCACCCAAGAGCTTTTGAAGAATGTACCTGGCAGGGTGTCAGCCTGGGGAGGGTAGGGCAGTGGTGGGCTTTGCTGCTCTGATCCATCCTCCCCCTTCCCAGACCCTTTGAATCAGAATCTCCTGGGGAAGAGACCTGGGCATCATAGGCTTTAAAAGCTGCTGAGATGATTTTAATGTGTAGCCAGAGTTGGGTACCACTAAATCCTTGTTCCTAAAACTGTGGTGTGTGGACTGACAACATCGGCAGCCCCTGGCAGCTTATTAGAAATGCAGAATCTCAGGCCCCACCCTGCATCTACCGAATCCAAATCTGCACTTTAAACAGATCCTTATAAACACATTAAAGTTGGAGATGCACTGCACTAGTCCATCTTTCTCATTTGACAGAGGAAACTGATGGCCAGGAAGAGGGAGTGACTTGCCAGAGTTAGTAAGGACCAGAAGGCCCTCCATGCCCTGCCTCTCTGCTTTCACAAGATACTACTTTCTGGCTCATGCAATTGCATCCTCAATGGGTATAGATAACACTTCAGGTACTCCTCACCTTATGATGGGGTTATGTCCCCATAAACCCATCTAAGTTGAAAGTATTGTTAAGTTAAAATGCACGTAATATACCTAACCATCATAGCTTAGCCTAGCCTACCTTAAACACACCAAGAACCCTTAAATTAGCCTACAGTTGTGCAAAGTCATCTAAAACAAAGCCTATAACAAAGCATTGAATATCTCATGTAATTTGTTGAATACTGTACTGAAAGCAAAAACCAGAATGGTTGTATAGGTACTTGAAGTACAGTTTCTGCTGAATGCAGATCACTTTTGCACCATCATAAAGTCAAAATATTGTAAGTTGAACCATTGTAAGATGGGAACCATCTGTAGATGCTTTGGGATCAGAGTCTTGGCAGGGAAAGCTTAGAGACCCAGAGGAAGAGCTAGAGGCTGATTTTCCATCCTCCCTGCCTTGGGCAAAGGAGACAGCCCAATGCTCCATCCCAGTATGCTGGGTGACATCAAGGACAGCCAGCCAAGGGCTCTACCCCAGCCTCTGCCTCTAGACTCAGTGACTTGGGTGCCTCATGGACATGGCCCCGTGCGAGGCATCAGCTGCTGAGTTTTGCTCCCGGTCCTGGGGATGTATGCGGCCCTCATTCCAGGCTGCCTTGGAGCTGGCCTGGGTTTGGGGGAGGGCAGAGGGCACATCTTGATCCTTCCATTCAGCAGCCCAGGCAGATCTGGATGGGTCTGGGCAGGTGGGGCAGGGCTGGCTTTTGCTGATCTGACCCCAGTCAGCATTTGTAGAGCAATGTAGGTCTCTTTCTCATCTTAGTGTGCCTGTCCTTTGGGGTGGCATGACCCCCAGGGTAGAACAGCTGGGCTTGGGCCATGAACCACATGGGCAGAATTTGCTCTATGTGTTCCCTCCAGGTCTGTGTAGGGGCAGTGGTTGGGAACCCCAAAGCATCTGACTAATCTTGGGGAGAGCTTTTGTCCTCGACAGGCAGGGAGGACCCTAAACTGTGTGATGGGCAGTTCTGGTCCTCTGAGAGCAAGTGAGGAAGGAGAAACTTTGAAGAGTGTGAAGAATCGGGCTACAGACTATTTGATACCTGCTGAGTTTGGAACATGAGCTTCCAGGCTGTCTGTGTGGGGTTACTTGGTGAAGAGCACAGACTCTGGGGTCAGAGCTGTGTAACGCTGGGCACGTTCAGTTAGCATTCCCTAAGTATATATTGAGCACCTACTATGTATTAGGCACTGGGGATATAGGAGTGAACTCATGGAGTTTATTTTATTTTAGACAGTATAGATAATAAAAAAGCAAGCAAATAAATATATAGTAGCTCAGGTGGTAACAAGCACTAGGATAAGGGGAGGGTGTCAAGAGAATAGGGCGTGGTGGGGAGAGGTGCATGGTCGGGGAGGACCCTTGGGTGAGGCGAGACTTGAGGGAAGGAAGGGATGAGCCATGGGGCTGTAGGGGAGGAGTTTTGTAGCTGAGGACTCAGGTGCAAAGGACCTGAGTCATATTCAAGAAGCAGGGGACTGGGTTAGGAGAGTAGGAGACGGACTTAAGAGGTAGGAGGCCCAGGCCGTGGAGGGCCTGCTGGGCACTGCAAGGGCTTTTTGGATTTTACTTAGAGAGAGATGGGAAGATTTTGGAAGCTATTGGTTAGAGCTGTGACATGATCTGACTTTAACAGGAAGTTAGGGCAGGGGCAGGGGCAGGGAGGCCAGTGAAGAGACCAGAGACGGTGGTGGCTGAGATCATAGAGCACATGGTCCCTGTAACCTTAGGACCACAAAGCAGCCCTCACCTGCAAGATGAGGATGACATAGTACTTTTCTGATAAAATTGTATTGACGGTTAAATGAAAGCGTCCTAAAAATGCCTGGCACATAGAAAGTGCTTAATAAATATTAGCTATTATTATTATGGATGCAGGCAGGACAGCTTCTCTGTTGTCCAAAGACACAGGGTTCTGGTGTTCTGGGCGGTCTCTTAGCTAGCAGAAATGCTCCCTCCTGGAGAGCCACTCCTGAGTCTCACCCAAGCAGCTGCATGAGTTGGGGTTCCACCTGAAATGGAGAGACCCTATGAACTTGGTCCTGAGCACTCTCATGACCATCGAAGTGGGAGGTGACAATGTCACTGGAGTACTCGAACTTGTCCAATCTTCAGCAGAAAATATCTGGGATATAATGGGAGTTTCCTGTTTCCCACGGAGGCCAAACAGCCATTCTTATTCTCACTTTATACATGAGGAAACTGAGGCCTAGGGTAGTTAAGTCATTAGTCCAAGGCCATGTCTGGACTGGTCCCCAGGTCTCCTGCCTCCCAGTGTAGTGCTCTTTCTGCTCCACTTGCAGCCTCTCTGGTCTTACCTGTGTTCCAATATGCCATGCCCTCCACCCATGTGGCCCCACACTGTCGCCCCACCCCCACTGTGACTGTCCACACTCCAGGGGGACTAACTTCAACCTGGCTCTGCCCTGTCTCCCTCCAGATTGAGCGGCAGCTCTTTGAGGAGACTGTGAAGACCCTCAATGGCTTTTACGCAGAGGCTGAGAAGATCGGGGGCAGCTCCTACCTCGAGGGCTGCCTGGCCTGTGCCACGGCCTATTTCATCTTCCTCTGCATGGAGACCCACTATGAGAAGGTGGGTCCTCCTCGCCCTGCCCCGTGTCTCCCCCCCACGCTTCCCTGCTGCATGCTCATCCCTGCCCGGCCCCTCTTTCTGCAGGTTCTCAAGAAGATTTCCCGCTACATCCAGGAGCAGAACGAGAAGATCTTTGCACCTCGAGGCCTCCTGCTCACAGACCCTGTGGAGCGTGGAATGAGGGTTGTATCCTTCCCAGCTGTTCTGTGTGAGGGCATAGAGCTGCCAACCAGTGGGGTCCCTGGCAGGGCTTCCAGGAAATGGGGACCACTCTAAGAGCCTCCACTCGGAGTTTTCCCAGGATTCCCCACATCAATCGTCACCAATCCCCTCCCCCACATAAGTTACTGGGGCTGTTTGTGAGTTTCAGGGTTTGCGTTTATTGAGCTGCATGTAATCAGTGCTTAATATATGCCAGATCCCATATTAAGTGCTTTGAAAATATGAATTCATGCAATTCTCACGGCAATCCTACGAGGTGGGTGGCTCTCATTAGTGCCCTTTATAGATGAGGACAGTGAAGCTAAAGAACTGGCTTAGAGTCATGCAGCTGGTGAATGTCAGCCAGGATTTGAGCCGAGGCCCAGGGTGAACTACAAGGCTGTACTGCCCCTCAAGGAATATGCAGATCACTACATTTATTTACATATCCATAGTCTCATGTAATCCTCATTTAATCTTGCAAGGTAGGTCCCATTGTCCCCCTTTTACAGATAAGAAAAATGAGATCTAGGATGAGGTGACTTCCCCAGATCTCAGTCCTGGAGGGAGGCTGGCCAGGGTGTGGCCACAGTTCTGCTGACCCCACCTGGAACTGTGGACCAGATGTGCACACCTCCCTCTCCCACAAGCAGCAGCAATGAGAGTAGAAGTGTTAAAAAATAAATTTAACTGGCAAACCGAGAGGAAAAAAACAAACACCCAGAGTCCCATGTTTGCAAAATCCGGGGAGTGGTGCTTCTTGTTACTGAGGCTTTACTATGTGCCAGGTATTGTGCTTAGTGCTTTGCATACATGATTTCACTTAATCTTCACAATGACCCTGGGATTCTATTATCCCATTTTACAGATGCAATAATTGATAGCTAACAAGGTAAGCCACTGGCCTAAGGTCATTTGGCTTGTGAGTGAGTCAGAACTTGAATTCAGAACACCACAGTCCTCACACTTCCCATGCAGTCACCACCTCCCTGAGCAGATCCATGTCCTAGGATACAGTAATTAGACCCCTAGCATGTAAGCTCTAGCAGGGCGGGGCCCTGTGCGGTGTGATCATGGCTGTGCATCCAGCACGGTGCCCGGCCCTATGAGTCTCCATAACCATTAGCTGATCAATGTGCAGGAGCGGGCTTGGGGAAGGAGTGCAGCTCCCAGGACTCCTCATCCCTACTGTCTAGGGGGCAGCACAAGCTGAGCTTCCTGCACCCCTGCCGCCTCCATCGCGGTTCATGTCTGACCCCTGCTCAGCAGCTGGGCGGCTCACAGCTCTCCTTAACAGCCCACACCAGATCGAGATCTCCATCTACGAGGACAGGTGCAGCAGCGGCAGCTCCAGCAGTGGTAGCAGCAGTGGCAGCGGCAGCAGCAGTGGTGGGGGTGGTGGGGCGGGGGCCCGGTGACTGGCCGAGAGTCCCTGCAGGGAGGTGTATGGCCGGAGTGAGGGCCTCGCAGACCTGCGGCGGCTGCGCTACCAGAGCACCCGCTTCTGAGTCATTCTGTGGGCCTGCCCTGTTGCTGGAGAGGCGGGGAGGGTGGCTGGCCTGGTGTTCCCTGTGGCAGTCAACCCATGCCCCTGTCCCTCACCCCCGGTATGATCGGTCCACTTCCTGACCTGGGGGCTGTCCTTTCCTGATAGGGCTGGTCTGGGTCACATGGAGCCAGACCTTCCTAGGGAAAGCTGGGGGCGGGGAGAACACAACCTGGACAGTCCCTTTTTTCTGCAGCTCCTCTCCCATACCCAGGCCTGTTCCATAGAGAATTTCTACCCTGCATGATTTCTCAGTCCAAACCCTATGTCCACCAGGACTCTGCACGTGGGCTCTGCTCCCAGTGGCTGTCCCCCATTGTCTCCTCCTTCTGATGCCACCACAGGACCTCTGCCTGTCTATGATCCTGCCCCCACTGAATTTGAGGTCTGGGGAGATGGGTGCCATGGTCGGAGACATTTGGATGCTCCTGACCTCTCCTTGACCTGTGGCTTTCCTGTCCTCCACCCACAGCTGAGGCCATCTCGGGCTTGCCAAGAAACGTCCAACTCTGAGACTTTGCAGGCTGCCAGGTGCTGGTTATGGGGCACACAGCCTGGGGCTGTGAAAAATTATATGGGAGTCTGGAGAAACTCTTTGTGGAGGGACGTAGTCTTGGGGGCTTTGAACCTCCTGAACTGGAGCTAATTTCCTAAGATTAGAACCTGAGTGTATGTGAGAATGAGTGTGTGTATGTCTGCACACATGTGAATGTGTGTGAGTGCATTGTGTGCACGAATGCATGTGTGTATGTGAGTTTGTGAGCATGTGTGAGTGCACTTGTGTGATGTATGCATACACATGTGAGCACCTGTGTGCTCGTGTGTGCATGAATGCATGTTGATGAGTGTGAGTGCATGTGAATTGCATGAGTGCACGAGTGCACACGAGCGTGAGTGTACATGTGTGCGTGAGTGCACACGTATGTGAGCATGTGCATGCACGTGCATGCTAGTGTGCACGAGTACATGAGTGCATGTATGCGCATGAGTGCACCTGAGTGTGTGTGCACATGTATGCATGAGTGCACAGGTATGTGAGTGTGAGTGTATATGTGTGAGCATGTGAGTGCTTGTCAGTGTGTGTGTAAGAGTGCACTTGTGTGTCCCCCTGGGCTGCTAGCCAATGACTGCCCCTCTCTGCATCCTGCCTTGTCTTTGCTACATGATGGTCTGTGACTTCTTCCCTGCGTGGATCCAGCCTTGCTCCCTGGGACTGCCAGCTTGGCTCTTTTTCCTGGCCTCTCCCCTTCTTCTGACTCTATATGTTCTAGCAGAGAAGTTGGGGTTCTAGGAGAGCAGAGCCAACCTTCTGGTGGCCCTAGATGCCCTTCTCCCAGCCCTTCGTGACAAGACAGTGGGGCCACAAATGTGCGTAGCCAGCTTTCCCAGGCTCCGGGGCTCTTTAAGGCTGTGTAGGCGAGGCCACTTCAGACATTCAAAGGAGCCAGCAACCTGCAGCTGCAGAGGCAAACCCCTGCCTTGCAAGGGAAGAGAGGACATCCAACATCCAACCAAGGATGCTCTGGCTCCTGGGGCCCAGGGAAGCCAGTGGGAAGGGAACAGCTCTGAGCCTGGGGCCGCAAAGATGGACAGAAAGGGGCTGCCTACCTCAGCTGGCGGGAGGTGCTAGAAGTGGGTGTGAAAGAGCAGCCACTGCAGGTAGCTTGCTGGAACCAGAGAGGGACCTGGTTTTCTACTGGGTGTGGGAGTAGTGTGTGCAAAGCAGGAGACTACCCAGGCAGCTAGAGAGGGTTGGCCCAGCCCTGGAGGCCTCAGGGAGTTCAGAGTCCAAGTGAGTCCTGGTCCAGGAATCCCCTGAAAAGCTGCAGCCCCCTGGCCACAGCCTGTGCACCCCCCCCCACCGTGTGGCTGGGCATTGTGTCTGACCCATGCATCTCCCATGGGAGAGCTGGGCACTGGCAATGCAGTGGTCTTTTGTTATTTCTTTTTCCAATAAAAAGGACTTGCTCAGCTCAAGGCTCTGTGCTGCTTTCTCTGCCCCGTGGTGATGGGGGCCAGTTCTACGCCCCAGGATTGCGTGAGGGACTGCTTGGCTGCCTGAGCTGGCTGAGTGAGCCGTTGAAGAGGTGGAGGACCTGACGGGGGCAAGATAGACCCTGTCTCCTCGGGGCTTCTAGTCTAGTTGGGTGGCAGGTCCTCTAATCTGGAATCTTTGGGGCACTTACAACTTTGGGTGGGTGGAACAAGTTAAACTGAAAGCCAGGCCAAAAGTAATTAATTAGATAAATATTCATTTGTTGAGCTCCTACCCTGGGTTGGGCCTTGTTAGGGGCTGGCTCACACAGGTCACTCAGTACTAAAGATTAAGAAGCGGGTGGATATTGGGACCTAACAGAGTTATGTCTTGGATTTTATAATTTATTGAGCACCTCCTGTGTGCCAGCTACTTTGCTAAAACCATATACTAGAGCTTGGAGGAGATTTAAGGATGACCTGAGTCATCTCATAGAAGTGGAACGGAGGCCCAGAGAGGGTAGGTGACTTGCCCCAGGTCACACAGCTAGTTAATGGTGACAATGTCAAGCTTAGACCTGAAGTCTACTGACCCAGTGCTCACTCTGACACCATGGGAATGGCATCCAGATGGGATGTTGCCCAAGAATGCAGGGAGGCTGGGGCCACACACTCAGCTCTGTGGGCCAAGGGTCTGTTCCCAGAGAGGATGTCACTGTACTGTGGGGACTATAGCTCCAGCCTCTGGGGTGAGGGGCCTGGGGTCCCCTCTGGGTGGCTCTCCTGCTTGTACTCAATGCCCCTAACAGACAGTGTGGCACACACCTGAGCCATGGGGCAGCCTGGACTCACTGGCTCTGCTCAGACCTGGGCTGTATGGGGGTTGTCACAGGGAGGCTGCTCTCTAACGCGTGGGTAGGTTCACTCTGTTGTCGTTTGGGATAGGAATTTTGTTATCCTGAGGTCAGACTTGAACCTCCAGTCCAGCTGTTCCAGAGGGGAGGTCCTGGGGAGGGGGTAAGGATCTAATAAGCTGGTAAAACCAATTCTGAGTGCTTGTCTGGCTGAGAAGCATTCAGCCCTTCCACTTTCAAGTAGTGGAAGTAATAGTAACCAGCAACAGTAGCTACCATTTATTTAGCACATACCATGTGCCAGGCACTAGGCTAAGATGCTACACATTCATCATTCAATCCTCACAGCAACCCTCTATGATGTGGACTATTATTATTCCCATTTTACAGATGAGGAGACTGAGCTCAGGGAAATTAGTAACTTGCCCAAAGTTATACAACTAGCAAGTGGCAGAACTTGGCTTTGAATCTAGGCGGTCTGACTCCAAACTGTGGGAAGAAGATAGATCCAGCTTTAGGGTCCCCTTCAGCGGCTTGAGGTCCTTAGCTACCCCAGGGTTAGAATCTGGAAGATTCCCAGGGAAGGACTTGGAGCTGGTGCCTCCATGCCCAGTTCATCAGGGGAATGTGGGTGGCTGTGCTCACGGGCATGTGGAACCCCCGGGGCAGCCTGGTGAAGGGCAGCAGGGTGATGTGACTCACTGTGGCCTGGTGAGGTGTGGCTTCTCTCTGCCGGCTCAGTGATGGGGGAATTGGCCTTTCTCCCAGGTCTGGTCGCAGCCATGTCCCTGCATCACCCCCCCCCGCCCCCCCCCCGCCAGCCAGGGACAGGCCCCATCAGGATGCAGAAGCAGAGAAACCCTGCTCCTGCCCTGGCCAAGCTGTCCCGCAGGGCTCACCCAGGCAGCTGTCCTGCGTCTTCCCTCACTGCTGGCACTCAGCTGCCTGCCTGCCTTTGGCCAAAGGCACAGCGTGTGAA